TAAATAAAACATTATTTAAATATTGCATAATATATGGATTAATGCATTTTACTACATTACTTTGATATTTTTAGAGAATATAGCAAAGTATATTATAAACATAGCAACACAAAAAATTACAAAAATTTACTAAATTTAAATAGTCAAATAATTTAAATTAATAATTTAAATAGTCATAAAATATGCTAAAATAAAATATACTAACTAGATTAATTTCTTCAAAGCATAAAAATAAATATTTATTTAAAAATTAATTCTAATAAAATAATAATTATAAAATAAATATATATGTTTTGACGTGGTTATTAACTGATACTTCAAATGAATGAAGTAACATAAATTTAACGTTATTATTATTTAAAAAATATATATGTAACAGAATAAAAAAAGTAAAAGATGCTACTTAGTTAAACATGCATAAAATTTAATCCACATAAGTCTAAGCCTATATGGATATATATATATATATCACCATAAAATGATTTTGAAGCAAGTGAATGAATGTTTTTTTTTTATTTTGCTATGAAATCAAAATTCTGTTACGAGATGAATATAAATTTAAAGGCACAAAATACTTAACTAAGACAATATTTAAAGCTACAGAAAGATAAAAATATTACAGTATAATTATACACAATTTATAAGTGATCACAGATAGAATCATATGAGAAACAAACTACGCTACATAAAAATATGTTTAATTCATTGATTTGACATTTTTCTCTACTCTTTCATAAATTCCTCTAGGCAAATGTATTTTTCTGTTCAGTACACAGATTTTGGAAAAGGTCTATGAAAAACACATTTCGCTTGATGATATTCAGAAGATAAGAGATAAAGTAAGCAACGCTGCCAATACTGATACTGACAAGGAAGAAATGAAAAATAAAACTTTCTTATTCCAAATTATCACACATTACTACATCACATTTTATGATTAAATTAAATTAAATCCCAATTTAGCGAGAGTAAAAAATAAAAATTGCCAGGATATCATTAAGCAGATTTCAAACAAGTTTGTTAAGTAAAATTTTCGTTTTGAGTTCTAGTTCACTTTAATGCCAATATGCAGCAGTTCAGCAATTACTTGCAAACAAAAAATTAATTAATTTCACATTTAAATTGACATTTATTTTACCTAAAGATTGAGATAACCTCGACCTTCATATTGAATTACAACTACAATGCATAGACAAGACATTGATAATATATAGATTTTATGGAATAAAAACTTCGGAAAACACATAAAATAGATATATCGTGAAGAATTATGTTTAGTTAAATACTCTTTAAAAATGACCTGTACAAAATGACCGAGCAAGAGAAGGGATGAAGCATTCGTTGCCCTTGAATAGCGTTGAAATCAGGTACAACAGTATATCTCATTTGAATGCCTGTTTGAATCATCCCAAACGAACTTTCACACTTTTATACTGGTAGATACACATTAAATGATACATGCAGCATTCTCTGCCGTATGCACATTTTTGAGTAGAGTCGTTTCCTAAGAAAAGCAATTTCATATCTTATAAACAGACATATTCTTTAAGTATGTTCTCACACCCAATGGAAATCACCAGTGCTCACAGCCTGGTAATTCATTTAATAAAACGTCTAACATATCCTCTTTCTGAGATAAATTATTGCAATAAAACTCTGGAAAGAGGTTTCAGAGTATTAAAAATTATCTTCTGTCTCAGTAATTATAATTTAAATGTGACTGAAACATATCGCTAGGCAGCAAGCTTCCATTTAGGTTTTAAAATATATTTTTTGCTATTTTTATTCAAGTTTTAAATAAATTAAGCATTACTTACTAAAAATAATTAAAATCTATTTTGCTAAGGCTGTCTTTAAGTGCAGTATTATTTACTGCTATTTCTCTCAAAACAAGTAACAACAAAATGTCCACAACAGAATGGCAGTAAACAGAAACCTGTGCAGAAAATGCATAACATTTCAATCAGAAGCTTTACTGGTCATACATAATATTGACTAGGCAGTGAATTGGTATCATTTTTCAATTTCTTTGACATCATCAGAAGTCGTCCATTAGCAAACAAGTCAAACTTAGCTCTGCTGCCATTCGGCATACAGGAATGCAATTAACAACTGCAATTTTTAATAAAAATTTTTTTATACACATTCTCAATCTAAATATATATATATAATATATAATATATCTATATATACTAAATTTAAATACAATAAAACATATGTATTTACATATAAATATAAAAGTCTATAATCACCTTTGAAATTGGCCAAAAATGCATGAGCAATCAAAGAAAAAAAATTGAAGTGGCAATTTATCTTTCCGCTGTTTATAAATACTTGAACACATCTTGTGGGAGAAATGACAAAATAAGTTTAAAAATAGCTAGAAAATTGGACGACAGATATACCTCGAGTTGTTTCGTTACTTTGAAAGCCACTTTTGTTGAAGTGTGACATATACTTCTTTGAAGTAAATACAGATGACTGGCTTGAGACAATAACACATATAATACATTTCTGATACCACTTTCATTGACTGCTAATGTCACTGCATCATATGAGTTAATAATAAGATATCAGAAAGTATATTTAATATAAAATAAATTTTGAAATAAAAAAAGTAATAAATATACTGAAATTACAGCTTAAATATATCAATAAAAGAAGCAAAATTTAGAACAAACATATTTAAATTAATTCTTTTACGAGTTAACAATATCTAAACACATCTTTTGAGTCTACAGAAGGTTCATCCCAATAGATGTTTGCAAATTTGACCAGCCATGAGTATTCTTCAAGGTTTATATGTCCAATATTTAGCCTTCATATGCAGATCTGTATCATGAAACTCATAGAAGGCTCTTGTTGATTAGGCTCATGAAGTTGCATAGAAGGTGGCTGTCCATTTGAGAGAGATCTTCCTGGTTAAAGAATACACAGACTCAAGTTCACCAAGATAAAATCCTTTCAATATTCTTGAGACAGAAGAAAAAAAGAGAAACACATCAGAAGAATAAGTATTCTCGAAGATGATGTCTGAAGACTGCGTCTCTGGGTGTTTTCAGTCTACAAACCGAGTACAGGCTTTTTTCCATTTGCACTGAGTGCACCACATATCTCTATTTTCCATGCCATAGACTTTCCGACACTTGCGACTTTCTGACCGCGTGCGACGGTGCAGCGGGGATGACGACTTGCTGGGGGAGGAAGTCGGCTTGATACTCAGACGCATGCACTTCTGGGGAGAACCCTGAAACGGAAGAAGCAGTTATATCAGTTATTGTTTTTTAAATAGTTTCCGATTACAGTTTAGGAAGATTCAATATCAAAAGATTAAGTGAGTCCGAGTCCAGTAGACTGCAAAATATAAAGTCCTAAACATGAGCATTTTGTTCAATTTAGCGATTCTTGCATTAAGCTAACAAAGCTTTTTTTTTTTTTTTTTTTTGTTTTGTTTTGTTGTTTGTTTTGTTTTTTAGCAAAATGTTAAACTGCGAAATGTGCTGACGGTTGTAGAAAGAAGCAGTCTCCCTCTTGATCTAATCTGACCATAAAATAAAACACGGGAGGTAAACACGGGTACCAATTTCTGATGAACTTGGTAAACGTATTGAAATTATTAAAAAACTAAGATTAGCAGTCTCAAAAAGCTTGTGCTGAGTCCGCGTAGCTGATGAAGAACGCACTGCTATTTAAGCATTAAGTCAAAATATGTGGATTTAAAAAACTTACTAACATCCAGTTATAATTTGCGTACCAAGGAATAATTATGGGATCGTAACAAAACTTGGCATGAAGGTACATGTCGGGTAGATATGCAAATGATTATAAATGCAGCGTGACTGCGCTTTGCATAATGCCACTAGAGGGCGTTGAACTTCATTCTTCTTGGAATATAAAACTGATAATCAGAGCTTGTTTGAGTGTACTTAATCTCTTGCTAAGGAAACGCTGAGGTGGACATGCCGTTACGCCGCCATCGAAGCCAATAACAGGAGCTGTCAGAGTTCGAGAGGGGAAGAATCATCGGGATGATGGAAGCTGGGTGGTCAGCTCGGTAGGTCAGGTAGGCCGTTCTGATTTTACTGTGAGGAGGTGTTGGAACCAATGGACAGAAGAGACGTCATTTACATGGCGATCAGTTTCAGGATGCCCTCGACAGACCAGTCGTCGAGATGACCGTCACATCATACGACACGCACGCGTAGAGTCAACTGCCTCATTGGTTGCTATCCAGACACAGGCAGCAGCTTCATTATGGGCCCCTGTGTCTTTCCGAACCATCGCAAGACGCCTGGTTGATGGACATATTGTATTGCGGGGCCCATTACGTGTGCTGCCAATGACACCCACCCACCGACGCCTCCGTTTGGAGTGGTGTCGCGCACGACAGGATTGGACTTTAACGGAATGGAATCAGGTCGTCTTCAGCGACGAATTTAGATTCAATTTAACCAGTGATGACAACTGTATTCGTGTGTGGAGGCCTCGTGGTGAACGCCTCAATCCTGCCTTCGCTTTACAGTGACACACCGTTCCCACAGTTGGTATGATGATAAGGGGTGTCACTGCTTACGATACACGGTCACCCCTAATATTAATCCATAGCACAATGACAGGCCAGCAGTACGTCCATGACATTCTTAAGCCATATGTGTTGCCACTCATGGCAGGGCTCCAGGAGCCTGTTTCAACAAGACAATGTTCGGCCGCACACAGCACGGACCTCACAAGGCTGCCTACGCCACATCAACACCTTACCTAGCCTGCTCGATCCCCAGATTTGTCACCAATTTAGCATATCTGGGATCATTTAGGACGGCAAGTTGGACAGCCTACGAGATTGGCTGAACTAGAGGCGCGTTTACAGCAACTGCGGAACGAGATGTCTCGGGACACCATACGGAACTTGTATGCCTCAATGCCCGCTCGTATCGCATCTTGCATTCGCGCTAGAGATGGTCCAACAGAGTACTAAAACTTCCGTTCATGTGTACGTTAATCTGCAATAAATGATCATTTTTTCTTTGATTTTCTAATCACTTACTTATATCAAAGTAGTACTTACATATGTAAAATTTCGTTTCATTCTGACAACACTTTATTGCTGCGCAAATTTTTATGTCGATGAGCATATACTGTATACTAACTGGATAGTATAAATTACTGTATAGTAAAAAGAATGGCTAAAAAAATTAATGACTACGCAACTTGCACCGTTCTTTATGAATATAAATATTGGAATAAGAATATTTAATTTAATCACTAACATGAAAATGTAAATTAATGAACCTATTTAAACATTTCCAATTTATAGCAAGCAAAAATGAAAAATGTTTTAAAAAAGATCTTTAATGGAAGGACTAGCTATTGATATTTTGTATGGTTTATCCTAAGTTTTTAACAGTTAAGTTAAAGCTCCTTTCCTATCTATCCATCCTAACTTCAGCTTACAATTTCCTACCAGAATGTGTTTTTAGAATCGTGTTTAATGCAAATGAATAGGAGTGGTATTTAAGTCGAGTTCCACTGACTTCGAGAGAGAGCATCAGAGTTCTGACTATCGCGCTTTTACCTTTTGGCCACGTCTCTCTAAGACGTTACTGCGCTCGGCCATATTACGGGCCCTTGATAGCTTCGCTACTTAATTCGATATTTAGGGGCCAAACTAGTTACATTTATGTTAGCTTCGGTTACAACTCTTTAGTTAAGTTCTTATTTCGTACACTTTTTGAGTTTAAGGCCAAATGGAGGCTTTGCTGTACGCCCTGAGAAAGGCTGTTATTCTTTATTTTGAGCAATAAAGGGTAATTAACCCTTCTTGAGCATCACGTTCCTGTTAGTGAACTTAAGCGATTATTCGCTTAGCTGTTCACTAGATTTATCCACACTTAAGGTGTAGATAAAAGGGAGGAACCCCATACTTTTTAACATCAAAAGAATTTGCTTTCTTATTTTTTACATTTTATCCTAATGTCCGAAAGGACACATCAATTAAGCAACTGCAGCGAAACACAAAGACATTAAAAACAGATATGGTGCCCTTGTAGTCTAAAACACAAAATATATATATAAAATGTTTATGCTGCAAAACTTCTAATCATTATGAATGCTACATTTTTAAGCAAAACATATTATAGAAGTCGAAGGACAGAAGTTTAAATCTATCGAAGTCACGATGAGATAACAAAAATGTTAGCAATGGGAAATCGAGAATAAAAAGATCCGTTTGATTGTGACCGAACGTAAAAATACTTTGAAAACATCTCTAAACATTAATGCCTAATTATTATACTAATTCAAAAGGCAAATGTAAGCAGATCTAGTCGTGTTGCCATATCCTTTAAAGTTGAACTTACTTCAAAAATTATTTCGGTTTAAGCTTGACTATTTGTTTTTCAAGCAAAAATAGAATAAATAGAAATATATTTAAAAATATATTTTAGCGTTTAAATAAAATAATAATAATTAAAAAAATGAATCATAGGAACGAATGCGATATATATATATCTAGTTGTACAAATTTATCTTTAGTAAAAAATTTCATTCTTTATGCTGATGCTAATATACAGAAAGAAGAGTTAAAAAGAAATTTTGAAGAAATTTTATAGTAAAGAAAACCAATATGTGACATCATTAAGTACATATTCTTAATGATAATATATTTATAATTAGCTTGCTGCTAAATACTTTTGCGAAACGCATATTATTTTTTCAAATAGCTCACTTTGTTATGCTGGTAAGCAATGTGTTGTTATAATCTGAATGATAAATAAAAGGTTCTATGAAGCACAAATTAGCAACTCTTCTCCCCCCCCCCGGCGTTTTGTTTCTGTATGAGGATAGGCCTTTCTTCACAAAATGAACACCTAAAAGTCTTTCAGATGTTAAATAAAGACTCTGCTGTATCAACAAATGTCAATGAGGATTTTAACTGTAGGTTCCTTGACATCACTGAAATGAATATTGGAAAACATTTCTACTAAAAATGGAGCTATTTTATGATAACTAAATCATGTAAATTGCAAAGTTATGTTTCTCATCTCAGTAATATTAAGACATTAAATTTCAATCAAGTTGATTGGGTAATAATTTTTCTCACCATGTTACTTGGGGCACTGGCGGCATATCCATGGAGATGCCAAGCGGCAGACTTCTGCAGCTGTGGTATGGAGATAGGAGACGCTTGCACTACAGTTGGTCCAAGAACCTGAGCAAACAGGAAGAGATTCCATAGTTCAGTTATCACAAGTTTACTATACATGACAATATATTGCTATCCAAATTGAGAATCTGTGAAAGAGAAACCTAGACGTCTGTGGATTACTTACTTGAGTCTGCTTTTTGTACTCTGGATCTTCGTGAGCAGGCCTGGCCATATCCAAGTGGCTGAGCGTGGGTACTGAAGAAGAATAAATGGAACCCTGAAGAAAGGGGCTAAGAGGGCTTTCAACTTCCATTTCTGTGTAATAAAACTCTTCCTCGTGATCGCTGCCTTCAGAATCCAACGCTTCACCGCCACGCCTGTAAAAGTGTAACATTAATTAATTACTAATTAGCTAATTAGCGAATTAATTACTTTTGATACCTTGTTTATCAAAGGGCAGCATAAAATGTTAAAAACAGTTAAAGATACAACACTTACTTGAGATGTTGAGTTCTAACATGTCTTTCCACCTGATCACATTCTTGATACTGCTGGCCACATCCTGGCCATGTGCACTGAAAGACAACTTTTGTGCGGCAGGGGCTCTGAAAACAGAAAGAATGCATAAGCAAATTTAATTATATAAAAAAAATTAAGGTTAATAAAGTATTAAAAATTTTTAATTTTATACATTTAATTTCCTTTCATAATGGCAGATACTTAGAATGAAATTTATGACTTTATGATAAAACGTTTTATCGCTATGCATATTAATATACTGTTCAATATGCGCGTTTAAACCACATAAGCATACAAAAACTAATCATTGAAGGTTAAATAATTTGCACTATATAAAGGAATTCAAAGATTTAAGACGCCGTTCGAATTACACATTTTTTTACTATATTTATCAACATGGACAGCAAAAGAAAGGATTGGGACCCAGGCTGGTTTCTAAAATTCAATTGATTCCGTAGTTTATTTTTAATCAGAGAAACAATCAAACTTTACTTGAGAGTAAGAAAGGAATAAATAATTAATCACGGTTCTAGTTTTGATTCGATAAACTTAAAATTTTGAATGAATAACTCAATGCACCTTTTCTGTTGGAAGAAAATATTTACAAATTAGGAAAACAATTTAATATTTAATGATGCATAAATAATATTTTACTAATACCCACTAATTTTTAAACATTAAAATTATTCCACAGTTTACATCGGAAATACGCTTTACAAATATTTTTTTAATCTGTTGTTATTAAATAAGCTAACAATAAACAAAAATAATGCTGGATATTATATAAATCATTATTTCTCAGTTATTAATAATGCAGTAGGCTGTTTCAAGGTGATCACATCTTCAAGACAACCACCTCTGAAAGTAACTAGTATTTCTGAGAACATTAATACATAATTGAATGTACCTCTCTCGGGATGGTCACAAAAGATCAGAATGGTTTAGAACCGTAATGGTCATCTTAAGAAGGCTCAATATAAACTCATTAACCGCTACTGTTTCAGAAAAATATTTTGAAATTTAATAAGAGGTACTGTTGTCCACTTCCTATAAAGTAAAATTCGTAATCAAGCCTTCCTGTGATGATTTTCCCTCGACAATAATTTAAATTTAAGAAAATTCCCACTGCTCCGGTTGAACAGACACTTTTTTCTGCCTCTGATGGCAACGCGAAAATCAGTCGAAGCGCATTGTTTTAGAGAACGCTTGTGGCAACAGTGTAAACTTTAGAACTTGCTTTGATACAGATTAAATACTGTGGATGATATGTTAAATAGATTCTAGATTAGATTAATTTGTTTTGGTATATTAATAAATTCCCTTTTAAACTACATTAAATGTTGATTTACACAGAAATATCGCTGAACCATACATGCAGAAATTTAGATGTGGCATTTACATTCATTGTAGAATTTTGTTAGATAGTATGTCTCGCGATTACTGTAAACAGACTTACGTACTGTACACAGTGTATGGAAAAGAAGCCGATTTATAGCGGTATAATGATTTAGGCACTAAGGTACCCGTGCGAAACGTACTAATCCTATCGAAGATTTCTGATTTCCAAAATACATTTTGGTAGCAATTTGTAAAGGCATCTAATTTCAAAAATCATATAGTTAGTAAGCAGCTTAGTTTGCAGCTAAAGTTAGCTATTCGAGTTAGTATTAAAATAAGTCTTTGAGTCGTTTTATGAATGCAAATGAGTCAAGCTGAGAAACAACAAAATATACCAAAGAAATGCAAACCGAGTAAAGCTGAAAGAATTAATAAAGTGTGTTTTTCAGTGTTAACGAAGGAAACGGTACAGATTTTTCCAACTCGTGTCGATATTAACTGAATAGAAGCTGCTTTCCGGAGTATCGTAGATTTAGTGTCGCCATCTATCGGCAATAATATTATTCACGTTTTACTCCTTTTGACAAATTCGGCAAAAAGAGTAGACAGGATCCAGTCACAGGCGTCATAACCAGTCGCCTAGGGCACCGATTTTCGGAGGGTACCATCTAAGCTGTTCTCTTATGCTACAACTAAATAAAGGATTATTTCGCTTTAAAATATTATTATTTAAATTTATACGAAGCATCCATTAGATGCATTGCGTAGAGTGCGAAAAAGACTTCAGCCGCGCCTAGGCGTCAACTGCACTGTTCGCCCAGGGCGCTGAAAATGATGCAACTGGGTACTGACGACGAAGGTGATTATCCAAACAATGTAAATGGCTGAGGAAAATAAGAATAAAGACTCAGAATTGTTTATTTTTATGTTCCATCTTTAGATTTTAAAGTGCAAAGAGGAGTTTTCTTGATCTTTTCATAACGTATTTACTATACTTATTAAAGAAAATGAAATTTCGAAGTGGTCAGAATATACTTTACAAAAGCAGATATCGTCTTGTAATGTTCATAATACTGTCTTACTTATAAAATTAGATACTGGCTAATTAAAAAAACAGACACTGACTAAATTTTGATGTGTACCTATCTAAACAGGACTGATTGGCTTTTACAGCCATAAGATAAAAACCATCTTTTAAAATTAAACAGCGAAATGACCAATACGATCATATATATATATATGTTTATTAATAATAAAAGGAAATATTGTATATTTCTAAGTTAAGAATTCGTTTGTTATGCATGATAAGCGTAACCGCTTAAATCTGGTTTTCGATTCTCGCTTGTGATCTTTGGTTACGCCATGTTGAAGTTCAAACACCTCTGCCTCAGAAATTAGTTTAGAATGCAGTGTAAATAGCTGATATATAAATGAGATCTTCTTTAGCGATACAATATATTCTATGATTATCACATGAACTGGTCTTCATCGATTTCACACACATTGTTGCTTCAATATATAAAAGTGGTCGAAGTAAGCTAAAAAATCTGATGTGGCAAGCACATGACATGTCGCCAGTTTCTTATTTTAAATAGCAGCGAGTTTTTAATTAGTACACAAATCTAAATTCATTTTAATCTGCACGTATATATCCGCAATATTTTGGTACTGATAATGCTCGTTAGTTTTTGGAATTAACAGCTCAATAGTGACTACTGTGCGTTCAGGGATTATTTAAAAGTAAAACAATGGATTTTTTCGACTTTGCTATTTGCTCTTGTGTTTCGTCATAATCAACACTGCAAAAGAATAGCAAGTGCATTATTTTGGTTAACATGCTTGCATTACAAGAGTTTTGAAGTTCTGCGAATGAAACGCTGTTATTAAAATCATTCTCTTCAGCAACTTGACATAAATTATCCTTAATATGTGCCGCATTATTTTAAATTAAACTCTTACTAGATTGATTTTACATTTTTTCAAGAGTAATATTAATAATATCTAATATCTACAAATCTATATTTTCCCACGAAAATCCAAGCAAAATATCACATCCGGTTTATCATATATAGTCAAAATCTAATATGTTGTGTTCTCAATCATAATTGCATATACATCGTATGTGCATGTAAGAGTGTTAAATACCAAATTTAAGAAGTTTTAGATTATATCACAATATATTTTTTCACAAAAGTCTGTTCAGAGCTTCAAGTAAAGTACTAAAGAGTCACTTCCAATTTATCAGTTACAGCCAAAAATCTAATATATTGTTTCTATTGATATAAAAGTCTTAAATACCAAAACTGAAAAATTTTGGATTATAGTTTAACATAGGTTTTTCATTAAAAATTCTTACGGAATTCAAGTAAAGTATCCCTTCCGGCTGTCCAATTATAAACAAAATCAAATTAACTCTTTACATGAATATCGAAAACTTAAATGCAGAAAACATAAATTTTGGGAAGTTTCATATAAGTGTCAACTTGAACGAAAACACCGTCACACGCATACACACAGCCAACACTGCAAAAATAGTAAAATGTGTTGTTGGGAATCTTAATTCATGCTTATACACTGGAAACTCACTATCGAAATTTTGGATCGAAAAACAATACTTCCTTATAGTGTTTTAGAGTCTAGCTACTACAGGATTTAACTTTTTTTTTTTACCTAGAATACAGATCTTTAATATTCCTATGCTTTAAATTTTCGGTGTCATAATTCGTATGCATTACGCTGTTTCATAATGTTATCTTTTATTATTATGGCCCTGTCTTTCTATTATATATATTGACAGAGGCACTATACGTATTTTACAGCAATTAATTCTTTATAGAATAGTGGTGCGATTTGAATACAAGGAAGAATATGTTCTTAAGAGTGACCAAAAAACTCTCAATCAAAATGTCTTTTCCCAAAGAAACAGCTCCTCACAGTTACACTTCGTTATCTGTAGCCGCATGTCCTGTTCAGCGAGGAGCTCATTTTTAATCGCTATGTAGAATGTAAACACTACGGATCAACGACCGCCAATGGGCTTCTTTAAAAAAGAAAAAGAAGGGGGGGGGAGAAAGAAGGGAGGTTAAAAAAAATACTCGCAGTATATGCGTTGCAGAATTTTATAGCTTTTCATTTCCTTCGAGAGAAGGGGGGGGATTTTTTAAAACGAAAAAAGCGGAAACACTAAACAGCTGTCTGCAACAGCAATTCCTTACATACATTTTCGCACTTGCTTTCGGTAGCTTTAAAGTATGATACTGAAATATAGGTTTGAATAGTGTAAAAGCACACTTTATGTTCTGAATGATTTTATTATAGAATGATGCTTATAAAAACTGTTTGAGGAAAAACTCTACCCGGTAAAACAACAAGGATTTAAAATTTGAGATCCGAACTACTTCGTAAAAAAACTGCCATCGTCAACAATAGTTGCAGTTACAGTTACTACCAAAGTCGAAGTTTCCGTAATGGTTAAATATTTTATATTTTACATTTCTGAATATAATACACGTTATAAAACGACCTTCGACATAGTTTAACAGGCATAAGAAAATTCAGATGGATTGAATAGCTAAAAAAAAAAAAAGTTAGAATACATTGATTTCTTATTTAAACTGATGGAGACCATAAACCTTAAGATGTTATTCAAGAAACAAAATTGAATATTTAGATACACTGAACTATCGGTTATCTGCATACATATTATTTGTTTTGCAAGTTATCCGTGCACTGTTTAGCGTCTTAATAA